TTTTTTAAATTTTTATTTGGGTTTCTTTTCGTTCGACAATTGAATTTATAATGATACTTTAGCAATTATGTACATGTGAATTATTAACTAAGGCAGTGAGAATAATTAGAAGTATTGAATAGTCAGTTTATTTGATTTAATTTATTTTTCATCTCATAGATAAACTCGTTTCGCTGGAGCCACACAACAATGAGGGAATCTTTAGTTGTTCTTTATTGATACTGAATAAATTTTAGGGTTCTATCGCACCAGTTTCTTAAATGAATGCTATGTTACTTTTTTTTAGGTTTGCAACGAAAATTCGTTGTTCAAGAATTTGGCTCGTTATTTAGTGAAACGACGTGATTTCCCATTGTGGGCGCAAGTTTTGGCCGAAGATAACCAGTACAGACGTCAACTTATTGATCAGGTTCGCATCAGTCGGTTTCGTATTCATTTCAGACTGGAGTGCGAGCCATATTAATGGTTGTGTGATGAAAATTCTATTGCAATTCTTGCAGACTTGAATGAATTGAGTAGTTACCAAGGAATATTTCAGGTCGTTCAAACAGCACTCTCAGAAACACAAGATCCCGAAGATATCTCAACAACCGTGAAGGCGTTCATGGCTGCTGATCTACCGAATGAGCTGATCGAATTGCTTGAGAAGATCGTCCTTGATAACTCAGCATTCGCAGAACATAGGTCAGTTGTTGCTGCTTTCTGATTATTATTATTATTGACAAGCAGTACTGGATCGGTATATTGTTGTGTTGTTTTTTGACGTGCGACTATTGGTATATTCAATTGATATTATTCTGTGGCAGATTGTGAAAGTTTGCTATTGTTTTAACTTTTATTGTGAACGTTTATTGGTTTGTTGTAGAAATCTGCAAAATCTGCTCATTTTGACGGCGATCAAAGCGGATCGTACCCGTGTAATGGAGTACATTCAAAAGCTGGACAACTACGATGCACCGGATATTGCAAATATCGCCATATCAAACGAATTGTACGAAGAGGCTTTCGCGATCTTCAAGAAATTCGACGTCAACACGGCGGCTATCAACGTATTTTATCTGATATATTTCTGTGCAATTTTCACTTCTTCTGATTGGGCTTATTTGTGAATGTGATTTGAATTTCGTTACCTAGTGATAGAATTCAAGTTTTTTTTTTAATATGATACTTTCTTAAGGTTTTTGAAATTATAATAGGTTGTGAATTGATGCAAACC